ATGTATATATACATACATATATTTATATTATACATTGCTTCTTCGGCCTGAACCGGCAATCCCTTAGATACAAGTGAGCTATTTCTGTTTTCAAAATTGTGTTCAAATTCATATGTGTCAATCCCGCCATTAGGCGTGCAATAATTTCTATATGCCTATTATGAATTGTTTTATAGCAATAGTAATTAATCATTGTTGTTTCAAGGTCAATCTATTTACTCTTCTACATCCTAGGTCTTCCTGTTCCGTCATCCAAAGAGTTTGGTTTTTTCGAGTATAGTGGAATAGTTGACAAATAAGTCACCCATATATGTGTGTGTGTATGTGACTTCGTACATGCACACAAGCTGCGCTTGCATGAGCTGAAATGGTATAATATTAAAAGGAGGCAAATGCACTGTGTGCTTCTCAACAAAATAATAATAACAACAATAATAATCCTATCATATCTTTTCAGGTTATTTTTGTGGCAGATTGGGGAGAGTATATGTATTAATTGATAGTACTAAAATCAAGGATTTGAACGTGGCAGTTCAGACTCTCGGGAGTGAGAAATGGACGTGTCTCCCTCACACACGAAAAGGAAACAACCAGAAGAGAATTCGGAGGGCAAGGCTGAAGTTCCCACTCAAGAATCCGTGTCAAAGAAGCGTAATTTAGCACGCACATGTGTGCATGAGGTAGCAGTTCCAAGTAGGTATTCTTCAAATAAGGATGAATCAGTATATGGGACAATTTCAGATCCTATTTTTAATGGGGAAATGGCAAAAACCTACCCATTCAAGCTCGATCCATTTCAGGAGGTTTCTGTTGCATGTTTGGAAAGAAACGAGTCAGTTTTGGTTTCAGCACACACTTCAGCTGGCAAAACTGCGGTTGCTGAATATGCGATTGCCATGGCCTTTAGGGATAAGCAGAGGGTTTTATATACTTCTCCGTTAAAAGCTTTGAGCAATCAGAAATACCGAGAGTTGAGCCAGGAGTTTTCTGATGTCGGGTTGATGACAGGTGATGTAACACTTTCGCCAAACGCGAGTTGTTTGGTAATGACGACAGAAATTCTTAGGGGAATGCTTTATAAGGGTTCTGAGGTGTTGAAGGAAGTTGCTTGGGTCATATTTGATGAGATACATTACATGAAAGATCGTGAAAGAGGTGTGGTTTGGGAAGAAAGTATCATTTTCTTGCCTCCAGCTATTAAGATGGTTTTCCTTTCGGCAACAATGTCAAATGCTACTGAATTTGCAGAATGGATATGTAATATACACAAACACCCATGTCACGTGGTTTATACAGATTTCCGGCCAACACCCCTGCAACATTATGTTTTCCCCGTGGGAGGCTCTGGGTTGTATCTTGTTGTTGATGAGAATGAGCAGTTCTGGGAAGACAATTTTTTGAAACTGCAGGACACTTTCGTGAAGCAAAACCTGGCTGATGGGAACAAGAGTGGACACAGTAGAGCGAGACTTGCTAAATGTGGGACCACTTCTGGTGGTTCTGACATATATAAAATCGTTAAGGTGGATATTGACCTCACTTTCCATTTTATTTTTACTGGTAGTCTACCTGTTTCTGCATTTAGAGAAAAATCATCTTCTAAAATGTTATTTCATCTTTGAATGTGTTGAGTTGCAGCCATATTCATCAGTGTAACTTAATTTATTGTTTAATGTTCTACCTTTCACCATTTGTTGCTTCTTACAAGAGGCGTGATGAAAAAATTGCATTTTATAGTGCTCAAATTGAAAAATTGCTGAATTTCAGATGATTATGGAGCGTAAATTCCAACCAGTGATAATATTTTGTTTTAGTAGAAGAGAGTGTGAAGAACATGCCATGTCAATGTCTAAGCTTGATTTTAATACCCAAGAGGAGAAGGAAGTTGTGGATCAAGTGTTCAAAAATGCAATCCTTTGTTTAAATGAGGAGGATAGGGGCTTACCTGCTATTGAACAAATGTTGCCATTGCTTCAGAGAGGCATTGCTGTTCACCATTCTGGCTTGCTTCCTATTATCAAAGAACTTGTGGAACTTCTGTTTCAAGAAGGGCTGGTTAAGGCTCTATTTGCCACAGAAACGGTATTGCTGTTTACAAGAAATGCTCTTTAGATATTAAATTTTGAACACACTCTTGTTTTAGCTCATCCATAAGATTAATGTGACACTAAAGGTCTTACAACATTTTCATCCAAACTGGTATTGTAATACATACATAATAGGAATATGTAATGTATATCACTGTATTGAGAGTAAAACAATTTACTATGCTTATTGACTGTTGATTTTAATTCGTAACAGTTTGCCATGGGGTTGAACATGCCAGCAAAAACTGTTGTTTTCACGAGTGTGAAAAAATGGGATGGTGATAGTCATCGATATATTGGATCTGGTGAGTATATTCAGGTGAGTGGTTGTTATAACATTATTACTAAAAATAGAGATACATATTACACCTACTTTCGGTTTATATTTTTAATCTATTTTTCTTTCCAATAGATGAGTGGTAGAGCTGGACGTCGTGGTAAAGATGAGAAGGGTATTTGTATTATAATGATTGACGAAAAGGTAAATTTATTGCTGGCACCATGTATCT